TTTGGGACCCCTTAACTCAGTTTATTCCCATCTCTTAACTTTGGGACCCCTTAACTCGTTTATTCCACCTCCCTCCTCTTAACTTTTACTTTGGCGTTTTGACGCCTCTTAAGTCTACCGCCTCTTAACTCTCTTTTTGTAACCACCCCTTAACTTTCATTTAGTAACCACCCCTTAACTTTCATTTATTGTGACAGCCTCTTAACTTTGACTACATGAACCCACTTCTTAACCTCTTAACTTAACTTTGACTTTGGGGCGACTTGTGTCACTTAACTTTGACTTTGGCGCCTCTTAACTTAACTTTGGACTTTGTCCACCTCTTAACTTAACTTTGGACTTTGACTTTGGTGCCTCTTAACGTAAGCTTAATTTTTTGGACTTTGAGTTTCGCGCCTTTTTACTTTTGACTCTTTGCACGATATGTGTCCACACTTTGACCTAACTTTGACTTTATGTGTCTACCTCTTAACCTCAACCGCGCTTGCCAATTGTCCACGCGACAAGTTTAATTTCAAGTTTAATGTCTTATATCAAATTTTGCTAACAAGTTTAATGTCTTAAATTTTGCACGTAACTCTGGTTTCATAATTTTTAAAATTTTAGAAAGTTGGAAAGTTTCTTAATAATTTCTTAAATTTTTGAAAGCTGAAAAATTTCTTGTAAAAGAAGGTTTAATAATTTCTTGGAAAATTTCTTGCAAGAAAAGGTTTAATAGTTTCTTAAATATGGGAAAGCTGGAAATTTTCTTGTAAAAGAAGGTTTAATAATTTCTTAAATTTGAGAAAGCTGGAAAATTTCTTCTAAAAGAACCGTGTTAGCCTAAACTTCTCCTATTTTATGGTTTAATAATTTCTTAAATTTTGGAAAGCTGGAAAATTTCTTGTAAAAGAAGGTTTAATAATTTCCTAAATTTTGGAAAGCCAGAAAATTTCTTCTAAAAGAACCGTGATAGCCTAAACTTCTCTTATTTTATGGTTTAATAATTTCTTAAATTTTGGAAAGTTCGAAAATTTCTTCTGAAAATCCACGATAGCCTAAACTTCTCCTACTTTAGGCTATATGCCTTATCTTCTCTTTTTCTTATTTTCTCTCTTTTATAATTATAGGCTATATTCCTTATCTTCTCTCTTTCTTATTTTCACGACATGTGTCCAACATGTATCCACTAGAATTACCTTATTTTCGACATGTGTCCACTCTAATTAATTACCTGGAATAAGTGCTTTCCAAGTCTATTAGATATTTATTTAGATTTGAATTGTAGATTGGGTCCGGTTGGAGCTTTTAGGCCAAACTCATGCATGATATATATCTGTTTATCGTAACTTTGACTTCATCAATTTACTCCTCGATTGGTAGATTGGGTATACCAAAAGTGTACTAATAAATCTTTGATCTTGGACAGAAAAAGAAGAAAAAGTTATATGTAAGCACATCTACTAATTCACATCCATGAAGATTGAATTCTTCCTTGTCATTTTCATGTCCCTAGGAAAATTGGGGGAGCATGTGGGAATGGTTTATTTGTTATAGCCCAACTGTCTGTCTAGGATAGTCTGACATAAATGGGTACAAAACCAAAACAAATTATATATATATATATATATAGGGTGGGAATTGTTTATATGTTATAGCCCAACCATCCATCTAGGACCGTCTGTACATAAATGGGTACAAAGCCAAAACAAATTATAAATATATAGGCTATACGGGTTAACTTGTGTAACCGTATCTTTCTTATCTTCTCTCGTCCACGATTACACACCCCTCACCCCTTAACTTTGATTACCTCTTAACTTTGACCCTCTGATTACTGGTTAATAGTGTAGTTTGGTTTAATAATGTAGTATATATATCATAAATTTTTAGCAAAACTCAATTTCTTCATGAATTTGGTTACAAACAAGCTTAACTCTGGTTTAATAATGTAGTATAGATATCATAAATTTTTAGCAAAACTCAATTTCTTCATGAATTTGGTTTCAAATTGTTTGTAGATCTAGCATTCTTTTGAATTAATTTTGAATTCTTCATATTTGTATTTGGCTCTTGTTATTGATCCAGAACCAGCCACGAGATAGAGTTTCGAATGGTTCATATTTGGCTCCTACTATTGAACTACCCAGAGAGAGGGGTTGGAAGAGAATCTCAAGGAGCAAGGCTATGCTTATGAAGTACTCACGACCTTTTCCTTTTTTGTTTCCCCATCTCTAAGTACTTTTGTGATAGGCTTTCTCTCTAATTGTTTTGTCTTCTCTTGTATTCAAGTTACGACCTTTTCGTTTTTGTTTCCCCCATCTCTAAGTAATTTTGTGATAGACTTTTTTCTCTAATTATTTTTTCTCCTCTTGTATTCAAGTTGGCTTTCTCTCTAATTGTTTTTTCCCTCCTTGTATTCAAGTTTGTAACTACTTGCTTTTGTGATAGGCTTTCTCTCTAATTGTTTTTTCTGCTCTTTGTATTCAAGTTTGTAACTACTTGCTTTTGTGATAGGCTTTCTCTCTAATTGTTTTTTCCCTATTTTTTGTGGTTGGCTTTCTTTCTAATGGTTTTTTCCCCATTTTTTGTGGTTGGCTTTCTTTCTAATGGTTTTTTCCCCATTTTTTGGTTGGCTTTCTTTCTAATGGTTTATTTTAACTACTTGCTTGTAAGTACTTGCTTTTGCGATAGGCTTTATGATAGGTTTTCTCTCTAATTGTTTTTTTCCCTCTTGTATTCTAAGTTTTTATGATAGGATTTTTTTATGATAGGCTTTCTCTCTAGTGGTTTTTTCCTCTCTTATATTCAGTTTTTTCCCTTTTGCATTCAATTTTTTCCCTCTTGCATTCAAGTTTTTGTGATAGGCTTTCTCTCTAATTGTTTGTTTTTTTTTCCCTCTGTAATTGTTTTTTTTTTTTCCCTCTCTTGTATTCAGTTTTTTCCCTCTATTCAAGTTTTTTCCCTGTTGTATTCAAGTTTGTTTTTTCCTCTTTTCCCTCTTGCATTCAAGTTTTTTGTGATAGGTTTTCTCTCTAATTGTTTTTTTGCATTCAGTAACGACCTTTTTCTAATCATTTTCTCCTCTTGTATTCAACTCCTCTTGTATCCAACCTTGGCTTTTGTAATCATTTTCCCGTCTTGTATTCAATTTTAAGTTCAACCTCCTCTTGTATCCAACCTTGGCTTTTTCTAATCTTTCTAATCGTTTTCCCATCTTGTATTCAATTTTGAGTTTGTAACTATTTGCTTTTGTGACAGGCTCCTCTTATATTCAAGTAAGTTTGTAACTTCGTACTTTTCTAATCGTTTTCTCCTCTTATATTCAAGTAAGTTTGTAACTACTTTTGTGACAGGTTTTTTCTAAAAGGCCTACAAAAATGCAGCAAGGGGGATTGGAGGGGCATCTCCAGGAAATTCGTCGTGACCCGAACCCCGACTCAAATAGCTAGCCATGCTCAAAAGTATTATAAACGACAAGAGATGTTGTCGGGGAAGAAAAATAAGAAGCGAGTGAGCATCCACGACATGAGTGTGGATGATCTTGATATACAAGCTACTAAAGAGTTGAGATCAACTCAGTACGTCTCTAATACAGCACACAAACACTCGGCCCCATCCCCACAAGTGGGGCCTACACAAAGCTATGGGTCCAGCCACTACCCTATGGCAAGCCAGTTCTCAATGCATAGGCACCCATGCCACCATTGGGCCAATTTCATCCAGGGCTAGGAATAAGTTTGGCCATGTCCACAGGTCATGAGGCATCTTGGAGATAACGGGAGGGGAAAGGCAATTTAGATATAAGCTGCAATAATTGTTTAAGGGTACTTTGGGTAGGATTAACTACTTATTTGTGGTAGGATTTCTTTGTTTTTTTTTTTTGAGTGGTTCAACGGTAGGAATCTAATAATAATGTTAATGTCAACTGCGAATTGCTTAGGCTCAAGCTTGACTTTTACCTGTATCAGGAGTCGAGTTCTAGGGGATTTACAGATCTATATAGAATCTGTTGAGTTAGGGACATTAAGTTTGTACAACCCTACTTACCCAATGAATTTGATTGTTGACTCTGATCTTCAGCTTTTGATTATCATTTTATTTTTCTGATTTTCAGGATATTATTGATACTATATGTTTAGTTCAAGTATTTTAAGTGGGAAAACAACACGAATTGCATTCAAAGGTTGTTACAAGTACTGCCCTGGCGAGTTACTTGGCCAAGTTCAAGTAAACTTGCGAGTCTTATACAAGGCCAAAAAGTTCTAGAAAAACAAAAAAATACAGAAATATAAAAATAAAATAAAGATATTAAAGTGGAATAAAACCAAATGCAACTCGAAGAGGTCCAAATATGCTTAAAAAAGTAATGAACAAATTGATTCCAAATAAATGTATTTATTGTTAGGGACATTTCAAAAACATCCACCAAGAAAATTATAAAAAAAAGAATTATGGCAAAAAAAAAAAAAAAAGCACAACCAACAAAAAACATTCAGATCACATACAAAAAACGCTTACAATATACCCATAGTTTTTCCAAATTTTAGTTTTTTTCTTTTCTTTTTTTTGTTTTTTAATTTTTGTGCACCTTGAGTTGTGCATACAACTCGGGATTACTAAATAGTTTGCAAAAAACCAATACAATATACCCATAGTTTTTCCAATTTTTAGATTTTTTTTTTTAAATTTTTTTTTTATACCTTGAGTTGTGCATACAACTCGGGATTACTAAATAATTACTAAATGGTTAGAAGATTGCGCGTTTCATGCTTTCGGGATTACTAAATAATTACTAAATGGTTAGAAGATTGCACGTTTCATGCTTTGTTTCTCGTATTAAGGCTCTTGCTCTCTCTTATTTTCAAGAGGCTGCTCTCTCAAATTTTATTTTTAACCGGATCTAACTAGATAAAGATCCAAGTTTGAGATTTTTTTTGTTTCCACATCTAATACCGTTATTAAATCCTAACATCATCCTTTTCCTCTACTCACCTTGAATTTTGGATTGGAGGGATCTAACTAGATAAGTAAAGAGGGATCTAAGTTCACCTTGAATTTTGGATTGGAGGGATCTAACTGGATTAGTAAAGAGGGATCTAAGTGGATAAGTAAACGATCTTGACGATCTTGGAGGGATCGTGTTGGAGGGTTCTAAGTGGATAAATAAACGATCTTAGCGATCTTGGAGGGGATTAGAAAGCATTTGTATGGGACTTCATAAATATTTTCCACGACATCTAGACTGACGCATAAATAATCAACCATTGAAAGTATTTATAGTGGACTTCCAAACTGTAGTTTGATTTTCAAAAAGAAAATCACCTTATAGCAAGCAATTGAATATCAAAACTTTTAATTTATAAGCATAACAAGATATTGCATCATAGATCGCAACAACACAGAGTACATAATTCGTCTTTTGTCCAGAAAGGCTAAGAGAATCTGCAAGACGGTGCTACATGAAAACATGAATGCGAGCCCAGCAAGTCTGCAAGCACAACATCATAGCCCTTGAAGCACAAATGTAAAGTCAAGTACTTCAAGATGACAACATGAAAGCGAGCCCAGCAAGTCTGCAAGCACAAAATCACAGCCATTGAATATTCCTCCATGAAAGCGAGTCCAGCAACTCTGCAAGCACAAAATCATAGCCATTGAATCTTCCTCCATAGCATGGGAAGCACAAATATAAAGTCAAGTTCTTCAACTTACACTGTAGATCCAAAATTCCAAACTATCACCATTTTCAAGTCCAAAAAACATGGTACGAATTCCAAATTATCACCATTTTCAAGTCCAAATGTAAAGTCAATTTCTTCAATCCATATGTAAAGTCAAGTTCTTCAACTTACACTGTAGATCCAAAATTCCAAATTATCACCATTTTCAAGTCCATCCAAAATTCCAAATTATCACCATTTTCAAGTCCAAAAAACATGGTACAAATTCCAAATTATCACCATTTTCAAAGTCCAAAAAGCATGGTACAACAGTTAGAACCAAACAGCAGAATATAAAGAACAATTTAAGAATTTCACTAAGCTGGTATATATATATGCCAGCCAAAAAAAAATTTCTATTGAAAAAAAGTTATCCAGAGTAATCCTTTAAACAGCCTCAGCCATGCATATACAACACATGAAAGATATAATATTTTGTGGAATTGGATAAGTTTTTTCGATATTTTATATTTTAGGCTCTTATCCACTTATATATTAGATTATGCTCATATTGTGGGTGTCCATACTTTGCACCACAATTTATTTGTTAAAATATAAATAATAATTTGAAACAAATAAAGTTTAATATTGTACATAGCTTGATAATTATATTTTTGCTAATTATTTGCCTATTTTTCATATGCCTAACGGTGGAAAGTATGAATAAACAAATTTTGAGCAAAATATTTTATAAAAAAAGATTAGTTTGATCTTAAAAAGTAAGACATGAAAATAAAATATAAATTAATGGGTACATTTAGAAATATAAAAAATATACTGGATATTTACATAAATGCTTAAAACTTTTGGTAGCAAAGGAATAATCTCTTAATTCAAATTTTAAAATATACCATGATCCTTTTGAATTTAAAATTTTAAAATTTAGTTACTATTGAATGTTAAAAGCATATGAAATAGTTCAAAAATCCGAAGTTATTTGTCAATTAAAAGAAAAAGTAATAAGTTATTGATTTATGTTATCCTATTTTAGAAAAATGACCATAATTTTTGTGAAAACAATAAGAACCATTATAATGGAAAAAAAAAAGAATTAAAGACGTAGTACTTAAAAAGTAAACACATTTGAGCCATTGAATTAACTCCCCAATTCGTAACCAAAGATTCGGAGGTGATTAACATTTTTTGGGATAAACGATAATAAAAATATTTTGGATAACTAATAGACTTAAGTTTGAGTTAAAGTAAGTAAAAGGGAATAGGTTAAGATAAGGCCTAACTAAATAAAACGAAAAAAAAAAAATTATGTAACGAATCCTAACGAAAAGTGCATATCAGATTTTTAGATAGACATCTTTGATTTTAAGATAAACCCAAAATTCCTACAATAACCGCTTCCTTATTGTTTTGTGGATATTTGTTTCATAACGTGCCATGCGGCATCTGGAAACTTATTTAAAGGCAGAAAAAGTATTATAAACTAAAAAATATAGAATTTGACGTGAGTCAAAAATTATTTCCTCTAAATTCTTGGAATACCTGTAACGTTTCATGAGTTCTCTTTCTCTACTTTTCACGTTTTGTTTCCTCGTTTTTTCTCCCTCTGTTTTTCGTGATCCTCTGTCTATCGTCTCTTTGGAAGAAATTCTTGCAGGAGAAGAGATGGTCTCCAATGGACGGACTTTCCAAGAGAATACGATTTCCCACAAGGATCTAGCTGATCGTTACCAGGAAATATTCCAAAAAATAGCAGGAAAAGTGGATGGAAAAAGTCCGATGGTCTCCGATGGGCGGACCTGTCAAAAGAATAAGATTTTCGAGGAGGTTTTAGCAATCCGTAATCAATTACCGGACATATTCCACAAAATAGTGGCTGGAAAAAGTGCGATGGATGATTATATGCATTATGAAAATCTTGTCAAAGCTCTAAAAGAAATAGAAGGAATAGATTCTGCTAAAGTGGAGCTTGTCTCTTATAAGGATTCTTCCAGAAATCCTTATAAACTTTTCCATGAGAATGTTCCTGAGAATTTTTCCGGCAGTTCGTGTGGATTATCACTTGGGTCGAGACCAGAACCGCCAAAGTCTAAATCTGAGAGGAAGAAAGGATGTTGGACTGAAGCCGAGCACAGGTAAGTTTCACTCTACTCTATTCTTAAAAATATATATTACTTCGTGTTTTCCATAAGATTGCAACACCTTCAAATTTGATCATAACGTATAACTTTGATTTAAAATAGGGAAAAGTTTATATAGAGCCAAGGCTCTAAACAATCAAATTCGAGCCTACCTCAAAAATTACTTTGATTTAAAATAGGGAAAAGTTTATATAGAGCCAAGGCTCTAAACAATCAAATTCGAGCCTACCTCAAAAATTTTACTAGACGAGGTTGTTTGGATGCCCAAATATCTTCAAATCGATATGAGAAAAAAATTGATTGTAAAATTTAAAAATAGTGTATTTTATAATGTATTTTTAGACCGTCAATTTCTAAGATTTTCAAGTTTTCATAGATCTCTCGATCTACACTATTTTTAAAGCTTTAAACTTTACAAATAAAAATGAAAATATATTTTAAGGCTATCAAAAAGATTTTCAATATTGAAATCGTATTTCTCGATACTATTTGAAGGCTGGCACTAATTTGATTGTTTAGAGCTTAGGCTCTATACAAATTGCACCTTTTAAAATATTCTTTCGATTATCTCAAAATCTATTTTTATATCTAAATATAAAATTTTAAACTCCAAAGATACTTAAAATCAAGTAGATCTATAAACATACGAAAATTTTGAAAATGGATGGTCTAGGTAAATTGTTGTAAGGGGATTTAAAATCCATGTTTTTTCATAATTATACATTGACTTTTCAACATTAAAACAACATTTTGCTCCATTAGAGGGTTTTTCAACA